ACGATCTCGATTATCAGTTTTCTAACTGGGTCGAGTAAGTTACCGCCTTTAGAACTGGTGATAAAGAGAAGTAGGTGACCCTTTTAAGTGCATTTCTCCCTTTTTCACAAAGACCTTACATTTTGGATTTTCCAATGCATTCGGAATGTTACATAGGTGTAAATTAGGTTGACGATATTCACCTATGAATTGGGTGAAGATCGTGCGGAGATAAGACCACTGCGTGGACCATCGGATTATAAACCACAGAGGTAAAGGACTAGTGAACCGAAAAGGTGAACATTTTGGTCCCCAAGGAAAGGGATTCAACGAAGTTGATGCCCAAATCTGATCATAAGGTTGTGGGGCTGTTTTATAAGGGACCTCGAGAAAGGATTCCAACACGTGGTTTCATAAGAAGTCCTCGTTTTTTGAAAACCTATGAACACCCTTTTCAGAGGGTAGAGATTGTGTTCAGAAGATTCACGCATGCTCTCTTTAGGGAGTACATTCGAATGGGGACCCTTATCATCCGATTAAGGCTCATTAAGCAGTCACCCACGGTTTTGGGCTCTCGGTTTGGGCCCGTCTCTCCGAGAGCCCAAAACCGTGGGTGACTGCTAATGAGTTTCAACGCGAATTTTCATTTTCAATCACTGGAAACAGTTGCCTATTTGGTAGCAAAAGCTGAGCGCTTCCATCAGTCCTGCACACTGCAGATTTCACCTCCTTTAAACAAATTTCCCTAAAAAAAGTTCTGNTATGTGATTTTATTCAGCATAATTGATTTCCTTGCTTACAGTATTCAGAATTAGGTCGGTACGATCATTCTAGGTAAAGAATATAGGATTAATATGCCTTCATGCGCTAATCAGTCTCGTCTGATGGGTGCGCCCCGCATTCGACTTCCATTCAGAATCATAGTGGCGTATTGAATACGTATGTGGCCAATACAATGACTTGTGGTAGGCAGCTGATGTACAAGACTGTGTTTTTATTCTATCAGACGAGTCTGGTACCAATTAACCGTCCACGTCCAGGCGGATATCGGTCCGGGTTTCGAACCCGTGACATTGGGTGTGAGATAGTGCACCACTTGCAACTACATCACTTCTACTAATCATTCTGCATGACAGAAATAAATCATAAAATGTAACTTAGATCTGGTAGTTCAGTGGTAACACGTGCATTCATCGCATACGAAGATCACGTCAGTTCTTCTTCGGAGCTACCATGAATCTCTATCATGTCTGGTCTACCATTTCCCTTCTCAGGACTACAAAACACTCGTCATATCTCTGTTCACTACGGAAGGAACTTCTGACCCTTCAAATTATTTCATACCCATACTTGCGGTTTTCCCGAGCATATCCCTTCTTTACTTCCGCATACTCCTTCTTTGCTTCTTTCGGCAACTTCCGTACCCATCGACCAGAATGGTTTTGATTGAATCGGCTCGTGCTTTGGAATAAGAAGCAGACCGGTGGCTAGTTGATGTAATGAGTTTGATCAGAGGCTTGCGGACAACAGCTCTAAACCGGAACGAGTCGCCAGGCTGAATGAGTTTCGCTGTCTCGGCAAGGCTGTCCGCCGAGTGATGGCTGTTCCGAAAGAATTTAATGGCGTAACCTTGCTATCTTGATACGGACGGACACCTGCCCAACCCTTTTCCATCATTGACACACATTTCTATCACCGCATGATTTAATTCAGTTGAATACTTACGTTGTACACATAGACGACCAGGTTTTGAGGGATCCTTGGAGGCGTCAGCGAATCCAAATGGGCAGTGGCAGCGGTAGCCGATCGGTTCATCGCGGCAAATGGCGTTAGGATCGCAGTCATGAAGCTTCTCAGCGCATTCGTTCACTTCTGAAAGTAGTAGACAGAGATTATCAATCTACTGACCGCTATTCGTTGCAGGACCCACGTTGAGTGCAATTTCTGCCAGGTCGACCTGGCGGAGATGTATCTGCAAAGCCGGGAACGCAACGGCATGCGTATCCTACCGCTTTGTCGATGCACTTTGCGTTTGGAGAACAATCGTTCAATCGGGCGTCTGAGCACTCGTTAACCACTGAAAGGAGGAGGTTTATCTTTTAGAAGTCAGAAATTTGAAGATAAGGCATTTTGAGATGTGCATATAAAAACGCCACTCCTGACCAGTGATAGGCCCGTTCTACTAGATGTAGCCTTCTGGCGTCAGGATACCTAGTGCGTAACGAAGTTATAGGAATTTAATGACCGAAAAAATGCCTAATGAGGTTAGGGTAGGGGAGAGGGGAGTGGTGGTTTCAAAGGTGCAGTAAGGGGAATACCTTCAAAGTGAACTCGGTTCATTACGTGGAATAGTGCTTTCCGACCATGCAACCTTCTAAGGTGTGATATGGCGATTGCGTCACCAATCAAGCGTTCATCGAGAGAGAGGTCGTTATTTCGCTCCGTATTGAGTACAGAAAAAGGGATGGGAATCGGGATCGCGGATCGAACTGAAGAAAACAAGCAGCTTATTCCCATCATGTCATTCGTCAGGGAAACTATAGGCGAACAGCTTGCTACGGTGAACGGATTCGGAACGGGAATTCGGGTGATTGCTCTCCCTGTCGCCCTGCATCGAGGAGAATTGGGCTTTATCACTTTTTTAGAGATTAACGAATAAATGGAAACAGTGAAAATCGTCGATGTATAGAAATGGTGTTGGTAAAGTGTAACTTAGGGGCGGAGGTGGTGTAGTGGCAAAAGGCGCACTATCTCACACGCATGGTCGGGGGTTAGAATCCCGGATGGATATCCGCCTGGGCCAGCCAAGCCCTCCATCTTCCGGGGTCGGTGAATTGGTACCAGATACGACTCTGAATGGAAGTGCTGGGGTGCGTCCCTCAGACGGCATTGATTAACGCCAAAAACTTTAAACTTTACTTTTAAGGTGTAACTTGCCACATTCTTGGCAAGCCGTCCAATGGCCCATGTCTAATCTCACCATAAGGGTACATTTCAAGCCCTTCTATTTTTGATAAAGTATTGAAATTCTAATTTTTGCCTTTGCCTCTTACATCGCTCGTTAACATTTTTCCTACCCATTAACTCATTCTTACTTATTTTAGTCATTTCCCCTCGCCCTGGCTAAACCTCATGGCACTGGAAGCGATGCGAGTGGCACCGAAGCGTCAGGGGCAGAACGAAGTCCAATGTTTGAGTATCAATGAAGCCATTTCGCAACCCAAAGCTGATCTGAAAGGTCCGCTGACTAAGATGGGGTTACGCCAGTCAAACGGCTGTAAGGAATTCGGAACCTGTTGCTCAAATGACTCTTGTCCGGGTGGGCCATGCATAAGGGCATTCGTCGGAAAATGCAATTGTCAGAGATGATGGGTCTTTTCAGTTGTAAAACGGATGCCGATTGTGGAAGGCTGAAGGGTGCATGTCCTGAGCTCAAGTTCGCGATTGTAATGAAGGCTTCAAAAAGGCTGGGTAACCGTTCTTCGTAGATGCCATGGCGATGTTCTGTAATTGGAAGACGTGCACAGCCGGCACTGCAGAGGAAGGTTCTTTCAACTACAATGTAATCTAGGATGATGCATATGTTGATTTCTAGTAATTTTACAAATTATCTCACGGATCGATAACAGTGCTCGATGACTCGATCGACTTCTGTGACTTAGTGTTTTCAAAAATACAATCTATGCATGTTTTTGTTATCAAGTTCTGTCGACCTTGAAAAAAAATATCGCGTGTTTTTGGCAAAGAGCA